TACTAACTGAAACTGACTTGAAGAACAGGACAGTAATTAAAGGAAAGACAATAATGGAACAATTTACCGCTCTTGTACTAACTGAAACTGACTTGAAGAACAGGACAGTAATTAAAGGAAAGACAATAATGGAACAATTCACTGCCTTTGTATTAATTGAAACTGGTTCGAAAAAGAACATGAAAGTGACTTTAGTGACATTCCTTGATCAATGCAATCACTGTACTCGAATATGGTTAAGCTTGCATATAACACTCACCACTGTAAATCTGTGAACCAATTACAAACCATACTTTTTAGTGAATAGTCTACAATAGAAGAAGACACTTTCTACCATAATAAAGTCACCAGTCAGTAGAGATGTACACACACAAATATCAATGATGCTGATAATTAAGTTTTAGTATAAAACTAGTGTTTCACACTGAAAATAATTTAATTTTCTACATTGGCTGTTCTGCTCTTTTATATCTCTAGTGATTTCTCAGATGAAATATAAACCTGTGACAATTATGAAGAACAGACTGCTGTAGGTTGTTTTATACAACTTGCAAAACTTGACAGATGAGATTGATCGTCAGAAATAACTTAAAATGTTAGATCAACAAATTCATATATATTTCTCTGTTACTTGTAAACATTTATGTATCAACTTTATTTGCTGATTCCAATTGTTCTTTTTTACCAAATTTACTTCTTGACTGTCATGATGTTATTTGACTGTGATGATGTTATCATAAACTTAACTTGCCTTTGTCACTGATTTAACAGGGATGTGGGAAAGTAAAAGTGAAATTAATGGGTACAGATGAGGCTTTAGCAAGAAGTCTCTGAGGACTCGTTACCATAACATCCTTAGCTTGGGGTTGTTCTTTAGATGATTCCTGATAGAGGAGATAATATATATTTTACAAAATGTTTATTTCAAGTAAATGAAACACACCAGACTTTATGAAATACAAAACTAAAATATAATACTTCATATATATATATATTTTTTTTTTGAAGAAAAATACATTTCTGTACATTAAATTTCTTACACAATAGTTTGCTGAAAATGTACTAGCAAAACATATAACTATGGTTATAATAGATAGTGTTTTATGAGCTACAGCGAGTTTCATACTCATGACCTTCTTTAAGGTTATTTCCAGGCCTCATGAACCAAGTTTCTTACAAACAACAACTGAATTATACTACTCTTATACGATAAATTGTAATGTTTATTAAAATCATTAAAACACACAGTATATTATTACCAAAAATAAATGAAACACACAAAAATCAGTCTTTTTTGTTTCTTTCCAAAATATTTTAATTAGTTTAGGTTTAGCTACTGTATTACCTCAACAACTATTTAGAAAAATTACTTAAGTATTGCAGTAAACAGAAAAGTTGGAAACACGTACAAGCTATGTATTTCTGACATTCTAATCAGCAATATATTTGAAATTATTTTATAATCAAATAGGTACTGCTCAAGCACCTTCGTTTATCTTTCATTCGGTACTAATTGTATCAAATTATTATACAAATAGTAAACCTTAGGCTTGAATGAAAAACAAACCAACAGTTTTGAAGTAATAGAAAGGTTTGTATGACACATTATTGCATTTATGATATTTTGTTTTGTGTGTATGTGCGTATTTATATATAGTATAAACTAATAACAATTTCATGAATAAATAAATACATATATATAAAACAAAATTAAAAATCAATTAAATTATAAGTTTTAGTAATACCGTAAATTTATTTTTATCATTTGATCAAGTTTATCCCTCTGGTAAAAGCCATCTCATCATACAGAACATTTTGGGAGTTACCTGTTCAAGTATTTCCTCCAGTTCCATTTCCTGGGCTTCTCTTACTTCAGCTGCCAGTTCCTGCTCAATTTCCTTGTCCATCTCAATATCCTCATCCATCTGTTTATGTGATTCTTCTAAATGTTTCATCAGTACAGCCACCACCACATTTACCAGAACAAACTGGGCCATTAACACAAAAATCACAAAGTACAGTGGTGCAACGAGTGGTGTCACACAACAATTGGTTAAACAGTCACTAGACATATCACAGTGGTCACGAAGAGTGTCCTAGTAGAAAACAGTATGGGTATATTAATACTCTCTGTTCTTGAGATCGTAGTATTAGTCACAATCAGATCAAGGCTCAACCCCAAGTCAACAAGTTACAAATAAACAGGCCAAGATAAACCAGATAACCATTCTGAATGAATTATAGGAAGAGTTTGGTTGTTTTTAATTATGCACAAAGCTACACAAGGGCTATCTGTGCTCAGCCCACCACGGGTATCAAAACCCGGTTTTTAGCGTTGTAAGTCCGCAGACATACCGCTGTGCCACTGGGGGCTATAGGAAGAGTAAAAATATGGTTGAAAGCCAATGTAATGTTTAAGTCTATAAAAACAATCTGCAATTAATTAAATAAAGGATAGTCGTGGGAGG